TTCAACCTCTCCTTTTGTGATACTTACACGATCTGGGACCTGCTGCGGGAGATGGCCGGCCCGGACGGCCTGGACTGCAGCCTGGACAACCTGATGGTGGACCTGGTGGTGGCGGCGGCCGGGGCGCTGGGCGGGGAGGCCTGTAGCAGCTGTGTCCAGGCGTACCAGCGGCTGGACCAACACGCTCAGGAAAAATACGAGGAGTTCGACCTCTTGCTGGAGAAGTACTTGCAATCGGAAGAGTACTCGGTCAGATCCTGCCTGACAGACTGCAAGGTAGGACGGGGCATCCCGGGGTCCCCAGGGCAGCCTGGGTGAGCTGAGCTGAGCCACGGGGGGCTCGGTTGTGTGGGGGTACCACAGCCATCCTGCCCACAGGCTGGGGTCTCCCTCTGCCCCCCGAGCCCCTCCCGGCAGTGGTGGTCCAGTGCCCTCAGTCTGGAGCCTTCAGGGAGGCTGGGACGGGGTGGTGGGAGCAAGAAAGCAAAGCAGGGCTTGGCCTGAATGAGCACTCACACATCACACCTGTCCACACACAGGCAGCTCCTGGCACCTCACTCCCAACACCTCACTCCCGACACCACGCTCCTGACACTCCACTCCCAACACCCCAGTCCTGGCACCCCGCTCCCTGCCAGCCTCACCCACAGCCCTTTACATGTGCACAGGTGTGCACACATTGCCCGGGCTGGGGCAGGCATGGTGCCTCTCACTGCTGCCTCGGGCCTGCTGCTGCTCCTGGGACAGCCCAGGGCTCTGCCTGGCTGTCATTAGATAAGTGGTGACCTGAGATGAACTGTGGTGCTGGGGCCCTTTCCCCTTACACAGCAGCTGTTTTCCAGCTTTTCTACCCCTTCTCCCCAGGGCACCGGGCTGGGGATGCTGGGATGTGCCTTTCCCCCTCGGTGTTCCTCCTCTGGGATTCCCCCCAGTGTCACTGACCATCCCCAGCCCCGGGGCACTGTCCATATTCCAAAAGTGGATCGGTTGGTTGCCTCTCCCAGCACCAGTGGGACCAAGCTCTGCACGGTGCCACCTCTCCCAAATGAGAGTCGTGGTTGGGTCTCCATAGGAGCCCCCAGTGTGGTTCTGCTGGATGCTCCCATCCTTTTCTGGGAGCCCTGATTCCACCAATCCCCACCTGCTCCAAGTTGCCTGACTCACCTGTGTGCATTCCCTTTGGGAAGCAGAATGGTCTCGATAATTAAACCTGCTTCCCTTCCTCGGAGCCATGTCTTAGGGTGTGTGACAGCATTGTCCCCACAGGGACAGTGGCAGAGCTTCCCCCCAGTGACAGGACAGAGCTTGGCCACTGCTCTTCTGGGACAGGAGTTGTGAGGTGGCAGCATGGGCAGCGCTTGCTGTGACGTTCATGCCTTGGGAAAGGGTGGGAGCAGCACCAGGACACAGCGCTGGGGACACCGAGGTGTGTCTTTCACCAAGGGCACGGCGGTGAGATCCCGACTGCTGCTCCAGGGTCGCTTTTGTGAGGAGCTGGGTTTGGACAGGAGCGAGAGCTGCCGCTCTGGGCCCGTGCCAGGCCAGGTAATTGCAATCTGCTTGCCCAAATTCTCCCTGCGGTTTCCAAGGGATGTAGTACTCAGCCTGCTCCGAGTGGTTTGGTCCCACTGCTCTGCTTCCACAGGGAGTTCAGCACTGTCCGTCGTGCTGCTCCTGCTCCCGGGGGCCCAGCAGGAGCAGTGTCTCCCTGTGCTTTGTCTGGTAGAGACACCCCAGCTTCAGGCTTAGCTTCCATCTCCGCTGAGTACTGCGAGAGACCCAGAGAGAAAAGCGAACAGAGATCAGAAAATAATCATTACCTTTGGGTCTTGGGCATGGAGCTGTTCCCATGGACTCCAAAGTAGGTAGAAACAAATCCGTGTTCAGATGAGTCTTCATTAGGTGTCCCTGGTCTTAACATCCTTGATGGGAAAGCAGGAAACGAGCTTGGGAGATGCAGAACTGGAGGCAGTGGCAGGACTTGTACCTCCAGACTGGCTCCATGTCGCGTTGGTGCATCCTGAGAGCGTCTGAGAGCACCAGCTCTGCATTCCACAGGCGGCACTTGGGAAGCAACAGGGGGCATGAGCAGCAGGGCCAACCTGTGTGTGCTCACCTGAGCCACCCCTGGGGAAATCTCCATGAGGGTGCCTGAGTCTGCAGGCTCCAACTGGAGCCCTTGGAGCTCCCGTGTGCTTCAGTCTCTTGTGCAAATCAGGCTTCTTTAATTTAAGGCCGTTCACTGCGTATTTAGGTGCCTTATTCCAGCCTTTCACACCCACGAGTCTCAACCTTTCCCTCTCGGTGGCTGTTCTCCATCTGTGAAACGAGGCTAATGCCAAACTCATCCAGCCTTATGCTGATGAGCGAGTTTTGGCCTGATTTCCAGTTCTCTGGACTTCAGCAGGGGCTGCAGTTACTCGTTGCCTTGGAAAAAATGTGGCTGGCGGGATTTTTGAAGCAGCCTGAGTTTGTAATTCCCATCCAGATGCTGGATAATACCCTCTCCTGAGGGATGGCAGAGATACAGCTTGATGGTGACATCCGAGAGCAAATGACAGCAAAATAGGAGATGGTGGAGGAAAACAGAGTGGCAGGAGCAGCTTGGCCAGTGTGAGAGGCTCCTGCAGAGCCCTCCCAGCGGGACTCTGGCTGCAGGAGCCCTGGAGCTGGGGAAACAGGATTTAAAGGATATTTCTGGGGCATAGGACTGTGGGAGCAGGGCTGTGTACAGGGAGTTAGTGCTGCTTCCCATTCGCATCCCTCTCATCCCATAACAGCAGCTGGAAAATTGAAAGTAGGGAAGCACAGCAGCTCCAGGTCACCTGCACACAGCTTCCCTCTGCAGAGCCACATGTCCCTCTGGAATTTTGTTCCGAAGAAGTGTGGCTCAATAAACAGCACACAGGGAGCTCTGTGGCAGCCAAACCACTCCGAGGATTTTGGCTCTTTATTCCATCTGATTTAAAACAACAGCAACAACAAAAGCCCCACCGGAGCTGCCAGTTCCGTCCCGTGGCAGCAGGTCTGACCCCAAGTTACAAACTTGGAGTTGGGTGAGTCTTGTGGGTTGGTTTCAGGAGATACCTCATTCCCTGTTAATAAATCATCCCAAGGGCTGTGCCCAGGTTTGGTGTGGGAAAGGCAGGTGCTGCTGGGAGGGGAAACAGCATCCTGAACATCCGAATCCTGGATCCATCTGTGCCCAGAGCTTGGGGAAGGCTGGGTCAGAATCTCCCTGGGAAATAGAAATCCTGTGAAATGGTGGGGTCTGTGTGTAATTCAACTGCTGAGATTACTCATTGCTGTAATGCTCTCCCAGGCCTTTTTATTTTCTGCTTGGAGATCATTCCCGGGCAGATCCCACTTTCTGCAAACGTTGTTATTCGTGTGCAGCACCATCAACTTCCAAATCACACTCTGGAAATGTTTTACTTGTTACTCCTACAACTAACAGCAGAAATCCCAGTGGCTGAGAGACAGTGAACTGTGAAGGAACATTTCTGGGGTTTATTGTTTGTTTGCATTTCCCATTTGGTGGGATTTTGGGGGGTCTGGCTCTCATGGGGACATTGTGGGCAGGGCTCTGGCACCCTGCGGACAGGATGGAGAGGGGGAGGCGGGTCCCCAAGGTCCATCCATCTTCTCAAATGTGTTTCACCTCTTACAGTGAAGATGTGAGTGCCAGCTGCTGGGTCATGGTGCTAGTTAGGGGTGATGTGGATAAAAGGTAGAAAATAGTTGTGTTTTCTGATTATAAGAGGGATAAGTCACTAAGTGAGTCTGGAGCAGCTGCCAGCCGCCTCCATCTCCTCTTCCTGCCTGACTTGTACCCTTTGTCACTGCAGGACACAATGAACTTCATGCACTGAATGGGGACACATCAGAGCATCCCCAAAAGGGCTTGAGGAGGTGATGGCCTGGGGATGTGGATCTTGGAGACAGATGTGCCTTGGGAAATGCAGGGCAGCAGCAACACATGAGCTGTTGGTTCAGGCTTTGCAGGACTTCGTGCAGGGAGAAATCCCTGTCCCTGCAAAGCAGTGCCCTGTGGGATTGTTAAGGCTGGTTTATGCCTTTTTTCCCTGTTTCCAAGGAGGGAAAGAGCGATGTTGCTCCAGCTCGGCTCCCGGATGAGAGCTTTGCTCCTGCAGAGGCAGAGCTGTGCGTGCTGGCTCCTGCCCCAGCAGCCACCACGGACAGTGCTCCCAAAGTGCCCCCTCCCTCCAGTCCGGGGGCAAATCAAGATCTATGGGACAAAGCCTGCTGAATTAAGGACTCATTAGGCTGCAAGAAACAAAGCTGTGGAGAGAGAAGGGCTGACAGGCAGGAGCTGCAGGCCGGGGCTGGCAGCAGAGCTGGGCAGGCCGGGCTGGACAGGACCTGTAGCATCTCAGATTTTATTAGATTACCGGGTTTCTCTGTGTGCGGGCCCCTGGCTGTTGGATCCCGCTGTGCCCTGGGCAGACCTGCTTCTGCACCTCTGGTTTCCCTGGCACCTCCCGGGGAGCCTGGCAGAGCAGGATTTCACTCCCAAGGATTTGCCGGTGTTTCCCCGTGGTGGGCGGGCGGATGGTGTGGTGAAGGATGGGGGCTGGTTCCTGCTGTGGCATCGTGCCTGGCACAGCCCACACCCAGCAGGGAGCAAATCCACGATGCCTGGGTTCAGCACCCTCCAGGGTCCCGTTTTCTGGCTCTTGTCTAGCCAGGAATAGCATCAGCAATCAGCGTCTCTGTGGAGCATCCCTCCCTCTGGAGCATCCTCTGGAAACACAAGCCTGCTGGGGCGGGAGCTCTGGGAGTGCCATGTCTTGGGGTTATCCCAGAGCCAGGAACGCCTCTTGGGGGAACCAAAGCAGCATTTTACCTTCACAAAAGCAGCTCAGGTTGGGCTGGGCTTATCCAAAATGCTGCTCAACCTGGTGCACTCTGGCTCTGAGCCTGGATGGCTCCTTGCACGGAGGGAAGGTCCCTTGAGACCCACAGTAAAAGTGGTTTAACCAAAATCTTGTGCTTTTTTGGGGGGTTACATTAATACTGAGGCTTCCAGAGAATCCACTGATGGGTGACTGCAAAGCTGCACCTTGGACCCGGTCCCCTCTGCAGCATTTGCTGCTCCAGGAGCAGCAGCACCCAGGAGGGGAGAGGCTGTTCGCACACACCTCTCAGCTCCAGAGCTGCACCTGCAGGTTCTCCCCCAGAACAAGCCTGGCCATTGAGGTGGAGCTTTACTGACATTTCATGAGGTGAAAAAAGGTTCCCGAGTAAATTCCAAA